ATCCAATAGAACTCCAAAATTCTTAGAGCCTTTAAGGTCTTAAATTCAAGCCCAAGACCATGCTCCATATCCTCTATCATGTAGAGAGTGAAAGCTCAATAGATTTTTGTGAGTGGCATGTGTCGTAATTATAGCTAAAATATGAAATAGCAATTGGACTACTCGTATCATTCCCAATATTAGACACCTCATTCAATATTTATGTGTTTTAATGATATCATAATTAAATAATCATGAGCTCATTAGATTATACTTGTCAAGATGCTTGATTTCATTATAAGCATGAAATATTTGAATATGATTTGATTATCTAATTAATGCATTGATGTTTTAATTTTACTACAAATGATTGATATAAGCTCATTTTCAAAAGGATTGTGCCACTTTTGACATATTTGTGTTTATTTTATTGAGATGATCAATTTAGCCATAAATTTAGTGAAATTGGAGTTCTGATCGTTCTAAATTTAACTTAAAAAATTTTCAGTTCAAATATGCATCAAAATTTTTGCATGATCAAATATGTTTTATTCTAAATTCTTATATATTTACCTATATAATGAGTGCATATTTGTATTTTAATACAATATTTTAATTTTAAAATCACATTAAAGATATTATTAACATTGTTGCGTGCAAGAATATACGCGGCGGTAGAGTTTGTAAATTCGCGTCCGAGCGTTGTACGAGTATTCAGCACACAAACAGAAAAGAGAATTGAACACCAATGTTTTTACGTGGAAAATCCGAAAGAGGGAAAAAACCATGGGGCCTTGCCCAGTTGTAAAGTTCCACTAGTATTTGTTTGAAGTATAAAGGTTGATCCGTCTTACAAATCAAGACGATCAGTTTACAAAAAACTTCTCACAAAGTTACAAAGTTCTGCAAACTCCCGGTGTTTCCCAAAAATTCGGCAGGGTTCCGACGTCTTCAGGCGGCGGGAAGAGCTCCGGCGGCGAACGAGGAGGAGCTTCTTCCTTCTCTTCCTTCTTCTCTTCTTCTTCTCTCTCTTCACTTAAGTCCCCATTTATGAAGAATGAGGGCTCTATTTATAATTTTTTTGGAGTGGCGTGGCTCGTAAATAGGTGTGAGTTCATGGGCGAATAGGAAGTGGTTTGAATGGACGGCCGATATTGAACCATTCGATCGTGCACCATTCGTTGGACATTTGGAGGCCTTATTGATGTTGGACTTCGGTGAGCTTGGGCTCGTTGGATTTGTCTCGTCGATCCGCTCGATTTGAGTATAAGCTCGTTAAAATCGGAGACCGTTTGGTAACTCAAATTGCGGTTTGAACATTCCAACAACGCTTCGGGTCCTTGATTCAGACCCATTTGGACTCGAATTGGGTCGAATTTGGTGTTGTTGGGTTCGAATTTCCACGACGCTCAGTTTGACTATAAGCTCGCTGAAATCGGAGTTCATATGCTCCTGAATTTAATCTTTGAAATTTTCAATTAACTTTTTGCCTCGAGATTCGTGCCCAATCAAGATAAATTTGTGATCACGTATCAAACATGAACTTATCTAAAATACAGTATCTATTTTTAAAATTTTATGATATTATTTAGATATTATATAAATAAATATAAAACTATAAATGATTATAAATTTAAATAGTTATTTATACGAATTTTTGCTTCTTTAATTCATTTTTCGGTGCCAGCTCTTGGTTGGTCGATCGCCGGCGAAGTTCTCTTCTAATCTGTGGAGTGCGAGTGACCCATAAGCCATGATTCGAGCAGTCATAGTGTTGAACACACAGGGAAAACCCCGCCTGCTTAGATTCTATGAGTTCCAGGTTTCTATCCTTTTCTTGTTTTCCTTATTTGTTCGAGTACTGCCTTTTACCCTTTTTTATGCTTTAGGGTATGTCATCTTCCATAATTCCCTCTTTTAACCCCCATCATTCCATTTTGTTTTCTATCTGTGTAATTATCCCCTTTGATCTGAAGCGCAGCCGCCAGAGAAGCAGAAGGAGTTGATTCGCAGCATTTATGGAGGTGGTGAACGTTATTCCTTTTTTTCTTGCTTATTTCTTCCTATATAGCAGATTTGTTGTTTGCTTATGCATTTTCATTCTCCCTCAAGTTCTGAGCAGCAGAGCAGATAATGTAAGCAACTTTGTCAAGACGGATGCAATTTTTGGTCAAGTATGATCCTAATCTTACCTCATATTTGTTCCATTTACATTGATCAGACGATATTTTGTTTCATCTGTCATAGATAGAAAGAAAAAATGATCTACCAATACGTGAAAAATTCACTCGAGTCATTTAGGGCTGTTTGAAGGTTGATTTCTTGTCCTTCCTGAAAGGAAATCATTGAATTATTGTTGCTGCCACATTTGAAGAACCATTAATACTGCCGTGTAAAGGAATGATCCTACTACTGTCTATTAATGGCTCAATCTCCTAATTATAGTAGGTGTTAATGAGGTATTAAATGGGGTTATTGGCGACCACTGGTGTTATAAAGGTTATTATTTACCTGTACTACTGTGGGATGCATGTTAGGTTTTAAATTGAAATTTGTTTGTAGATCATACCGTACCCTTACTAACAAGAAAGACAAGACAAAATGACAACAATTAGAGAGAAAAAAAGAGAATATAATGTTAGAAGCTCTGAGATTTAGATTTTAAAAAGTACAAGGCTTTGAGCTTGAATGATTTGATGTCAGTGGCTCTTATTTTAACTCTCTATTTATAGGCTTGGGCCAAGGCTCAATGCTGTAAGAAATTTTATATTTTGGCCAAGTAAAAAAATATAACAAATCTTAACAATTACTTACTGTAATATGTGAGGCATGCAACCTAAAATATGCAAATAAAAAAGAGACATAGATGGATAGAGGCCAAATCCATGGGAATTTATTCATATGAATATGTTGCTAATTCCACTTCAAGTCCTTGAGTACTGGCAAGTTGTTTTTTTGTCAAAGCTTATTATCCTAATTAGTTAGGATGAGTTGTCTTTAAAAATGTATTTGAGTGCTTAGGTGAAGTAGGCCTATCGGATCTTAGGCCAAGTATAATGGTTTATAGGAGTGTTCATTATGACTGATGAATTCACCATTATTTTGACAAGTTCATTGTCTTAGGTGAGCTCACCTTAGTTCTGGTGAGTTTGTTGTGACCTTAGAGAGTTCGTCAAAACTTACCAGAGTTCAATAGATTAGTCCCTCTCATTTAGCTCGTTTATCTAGAATGTTAGATTGGGTCGACTTAACTTGAACCAGGTCTACGAATATTTGAGTATACATTAGGAAATGTGTTAGAAGCAAATCTCCCATCATTCATATTTTCCTTATTAAAAAGATTCACCAAGGTATACTAGTTTTTATTTCTAAGAAGAGAGCTGACCTACTATTAAAAATATGGCATCCATTTGTACAACTTAAATGTGTTATAAAAATAAATTTTTTCAATGTTTTTATTTTATTTTATTTTAATTTTCAACTTGGTATATTAGTGAGGGAGAACTCTGCCTAAGTCCTTCCATGCTGAAGCACGACATGGCTAGTACCTCCAATAGCTCAATGTTGTAATTGGCCTCCAAATCCAAGTGCTATCTTCTTCAACAACCTTAGTGGGATTGAATGTCCCATCCTACAAATTATAAGACACATAGTTGATGGCCACAACTTCATCCAGTGGTCACAATCCATCATGATGTATGTATGATGCAAATGTAAAGAAAATGGCCTCACTAGGGTTGCCACACCTTTGATTGTCAGAGACCCATGGTTCAAGATCTGAATGTTAGGAAACAGCATGATGATGTTATAGCGGATAAACTTTATGGCAAATAAGATGGGGGAAAACTTTATGTATTACATGCAAAAGAT